TATACACAGTTATTCAAGATACATCATGTTAAAATTAAATCTGGATTTCTAAAATTAATTATATCCTCTTCTGCTTTTAATCTTCAATTTCCTCTTCAGTTACTGGCTAGAGAGCCTGTTTGCAGGATTTATTTTTACTTATTGCTTCTTTCTAAATGAATTATACTTCTGAAAGTCATGGAAGTATGAACACTGCTAAGATATTCTTCATGAGAGCACAAAATCAACAGACAAACTTCAGTAGTTTTCTTATATTCTAACAACAAACAGGCTAAGAGAAGTCAGGAAAACAATCTCATTCATAATAGCCTGAAAATAATTTAAATGCCTAGAAAGTAGAAGATTAAGGAAGAGAAAGACTTCTGCAATGCAAACTATAAAACCTTGAAGAATGAAATTTAAAATACACAAGAAGATGATCCATGAAAAATGGCTACCCAAAGAAAAGCAAGTTACAGATCTGATGCAGTCTCCATCAAAATTCTAATGTCATTCTTCATAGAAATAGAAAACTCTATCCTAAAACTCATAAGGAAGCAGAAAAGACCTCAATAAGCCAAAGCAATCCTGAGCAAAAAGAGTGATAGATGAAATATCATAGTATTTTATTTCAAATTATACTAGAGGGTCCATGGTCACAAGGACAGTATGGTATAGGCCCCAAATCAGACAAAATAGACCAATGGAACACAATAGAAGACCAGAAAGAAACCCATCCAGCTACACTCATCTGATTATTGACAAAGGTACCAAAACCATACTTGGTGAAAAGACAACTTCTTTAAACTAACACTTTTGGGCTTAACTAGATATCTACATGCAGGAGATTGAAACCAGGAACCTATTTTTTCTGCCTGTACACAACACAATTTTGAATGGATCCAGTACCTTAATAAAACATCTGAAATTTGAAACTTTTGCAGGAAAGCAGGAATAGCACATGAAGTTTTCAGTTTTACTTTCCAAAGGATTCCAATCGCTCAGGAAGTCAGAGCAAGAACTGACAAATAGAGCCAGTGCCTGTAATCCTAGCTCCTCAGGAGGCTGAGAACTGAGGATCTCAGTCTGAAATCAGCTGAGGCAAGAGAGTCCATGAGACTATCTCCTGTTAATCACCAAAGAGCTAGACATGGAGCTGTGGAAAACCACTAGCTGTGAACTAGTTCAGGGACAGTGTTCCCAGGCCCTGAATTCAAACCTCAACACAGGCACAAAAGGAGGAGGAGGAGGACCTCAACACAGGCACAAAAGGAGGAGGAGGAGGAGAAGGAGGAGGAGGAGGGTGGAGGAGGAGAGGGAGAGGAGGAAGAGAGGGAGGAGGAGAGGGGGAGGAGGAGGAGGAGGGGGGAGGAGGAGGAGGGGGAGGAGGAGGAAGGGGGGAGGAGGAGGAGGAAGAGGAGGAGGAGGAGGAGGAAGAGAAGAGGGGCAGGAGGAGGAGGAGGAGGTGGTGGAAGAGGAGGAGGGGGAGGAGGAGAGGGAGAAGAGGAGGAGGGGGAGGAGGAGAGGGGGAGGAGGAGGAGGAGGTGGAAGAGGAGGAGGGGAAGAGGAGAGGGAGAGGAGGAGGAGGGGGAGGAGGAGAGGGGGAGGAGGAGAGGGAGGAGGAGAGGGGGGAGGAGGAGGGGGAGGAATAGGATAAGGAGAACTGGCAAATGGGATTACATTAAAGTAAAAAAAATGTTTTCACATCAAAGGAAACAATTCTCAAAATAAAGAATTCTCAAAATAAAAAGCCTACAGAAGAGGAGAAACTCTTTGCCAACTATTCATTAGATAACAAGTTTATATCCAGAATCATGCACTGGGTAAAGGTACTAAGATTTATTTTTTAACTTCATTTATTAAATAAAAATCCTGAATGTTATTTAACCAAGTACTTTAGACGTCTGTTTTTCTGCAAAGAGAGAAAACAAAAACAAAATCTGCCCACAAATATGTGAGCAGAAAGAACATATTCTGTTGCTAAGGAATTTTTTTTAAAAACCTATTCAACATTTATTTGACTGTTTTCCAACATACTGCTTAAGAAAAATGCTAGCTCTAGTAGCCTGTCCAAAAACTGATCAACTTAGAAAATTTTAAACATTTGACTAATAACTCAGTTTAAACTCGAGGTTTTTTTATTTATTTTGATTTTTCTTAGGTACTGAGGATTTTTTGGCTTTTTGTTTGTTTGTTTGTCAGTCATGGGGCCTGAACTGTGGGCTTGGGCGCTGTCCCTCAGTCCTCCACCTCAAGGCTAGCATTCTAGCACCTGAACCACAGCACCACTTCCTTTTTCTGTTTATGTGATGCTGAGGAATCGAACCCAGGCCCTCATGTATGCAAGGCAAGCGCTCTACAAGTGACTCTATGCAAGTCACCTTCCCAGCCCAGGTACTAGGGGTCTCGTGTTGCCTCCAGTCCTTTATTGTTTTATATATTATTTGATAGGGTATTGTGTATATTCCCAGGGCTGACCTGGACAAAGATCCTCCTATTTACACATCCTGTGTAGCTGGGATAACAAGCATGTGCCACAACCAATTTATTATTGATTGAAATGTGATCTGGCAAGCTTTTTGCACAGGCTGACCTTGAACCATAATCCTCTTGGTCTCTACCTCTCAAGTAGCTAAGAGGACAGGCAAGAGTCATTGTGCCCAGCCAAATCATAGGTCTTATAGATACCCATCCCTCCTGCATGTTGGTATTCAAACAATTATCCTTGAGCTTTGGGTATCTGGATAAACAAGTACCCTGGTACAATGGAATGAATAATTACTATAAAGCCAGACCACAGAGATTCTTGCCTCATGTGTTTGGTTTACTGTGCTGTTCAACCTTCCCAAACCTGGTTCCTCAATCATTGTAAACATAATATCTTCTCTATGATCTTAAGATAGGAAACATTTTTAAACCAGAAAAAAAAGACACTAACTAGCTCTAGAGGTATTTGTAACCTGTTTGGTGAGGTGGGGTGTGGGGGGGAACAGGAGTGGTTTTGTTTTTGTTGGTAGCTGACCCCCAGATTAACTAAAAGCAGGAGGAAAGCTTAGCATAACTGTCTCCGTTTTATGTGTTTCTATTCTAAGCCATTCTCTCCATAGCCACTCTACAATGACCTTGGATTCAGGGAAGGACATTCTGATGCATAGTATCTTTATGAAAAGAGATGGAAACCACTTCTACAGAACAGTAGAGCCTTCTGAGGACAGGTTACCTACCAGCCAGTGAGGACTTGCTTATTCTGACCAGAAATGACAGACTTAGCAACTTCTCTAGAACTCTTCTAAAAGACTAAAACAATGATCAACCAAGACTATTAAATCATCATTACTACCTCTCACCTTTCACTTCCTCATATTTATATCACAAAGATGGCTAAAGGGGTACTGAAGTGCTGTCTCCCCCGGATGCCATGTAACAAATCTTCCTTCTTGGCCCTTTATTGTGTCTTTTTATCTGCCATAGAGAAGTTAACTGGTCAGACCTGCTGGGTGGAACTTGTGGACTTTGAGCCTGGGGTCAAAAACTGGTTTCAGAGCCCTACAGAAGCAATGGATAAATCTGACACGTTCAAATCAAGAATATAGGCTTACAAGAAGAAATCGTGAAATGATTTTTTTAAAAATAAGTGAGATGTGCTTGTATTTAGCTAACAGTTATATATTATCCTTGGGTATCGAATAATAAATTAAGAAATCTTCTTAATCAGAAAAAAGGAGAAGAAAAACAAGAGACCTCAGATATAAATGTACACTTCACTAAAGAGACAATACAAGTAGCTAATCAACTTGTAAAGATGTGTAGCCTTATTAGTAGTTAGTAAAATGCAAATTAAGTAATACAACTTCTCAAGGTTATTTGAAGATTAAATGACGACACCTTTAAAGCATTTGTGTAAATTCTAGTACATGATAAATATATAAATCCACAAATCTGGCTGAGATTATAGCTCAGAGGTAGAGTGCATGTTTACAGTGTGTACTTGCATGACAGGACAAGTTCGATACCACCACCAAAAAAATAAGTAGGTAATTAAGCAAAATCTATAACTATAGGCCAGGCATGGTGGAGGTGTTATTCAGGAGGTTGAAGAAGAAAGATCCCAAGTTCAAGTCAGCCTGGACTCTATATAGAGAGATCAGGCCAACCTAGAAAAACAAAAACAAAAAACATCTAAGTCCACATTGTCAGTGATAACTTTCTGACCCTTTGTAGAGTTTTTAAGAAAAAAAGGAAATCATAATACCCAGTAATAACCTAAACAACTAAAGCTGAGAATGAAATTTAGATTTATCCCTAGTGAATAAAAAAAATCATCCCACTTATAACATTGATGAACTAATCCCACTCCTGGCTTCCCATCTTTCTGACTTTTCTTTTTACGCTATTATTTGTCCCTTTCTCCTACTCTAGGAAATATACAGAATACACAGCCAGGCAAAGAAGTTTAAACCTTTCTGAAGTCAGATGCCGGGAGCTACTGCGAATCATCCTAAGAACACTGCGGTCCAGAGGAGCACAGTTAGAAGCCAGCCCTGGCAGAAAATCCCAAGACTCCATCTAAAAAATAACCAGAAAAAAACTGGACTGGAGGCATGGCTCAGATAGAGAGATGACTAGCCAAGGGAGCAAATCAAGCAAGCCTGAGGCCCTGAATTCAAGTCTCAATCTTGACAAAATTCTAACTTTTAAGTCCTCTCTGAGAACAGGTAGGGTCTAAATTAACATTGGCCTACCATTTAGAATCCTTTTGCATTTCCATGAATCCTCTAAGCGGGATCCATGACTAGGTCAGGCGACAGATCCTGAACCTTTACCACCGTTCCATGTGGAGGAGGGACAAAATCAGCACCTCAGGAACTGCAGCTGCTCTTAGACAGGTCCCCAAAGAGCAATTTAGAGTCGTCTTAGATTAATTTGAAATTTCATCAATTGAAGCAGTCCCTGTCTCATTGGATAGAATGAGCTTGACGCCTGTGATCACCGACCAGTAGACTGCGCGTGTCCGTACTTACCACAGGCGACGAGGTCTGGGAAGCATAAGGAGGTGGGGGTGTCTCCCCAGCTAGTTCAGACTCTTCCTGCTCACTCTCACTATAGCATTCTACAGCAAAAAGAAATAAAGGGAAAAAGAAAAGAAAAGAAAAGAAAAAGAAAATGCTTAGCATGTTAACACTTGCAATTATCCCATAATTTATGAGCGAAGGTTTTTCTCCATCTGGCTCTGCAATTTCAACCCAATTTCCACAACACAAATCTAGTGAATCTGGTACGAAGGAATTAAATAGCAGGGAGATACAAGTAGCCTCACAGGGTTGCTGACCTCAAAGAACACGCAGTATGCAGGAAGAGGACCTATTGCAGCTGAGGGACAGTGAAATGATTCCTCAGAGAGGGAAGGCATGTGCTCAGGGGTGAAGAAAATCGGTAGTGATTGGGTACAAACTATAATGAGCTGAGAAAGTGGCATCTGCCTGTAACTAAACAATTCGTGGTGTATCAAAAAAAAGTAAGGAGTGCTAAGCTGAGCCAGGTATTTGGGGGGCCCCTGAGAACTAACAGAAGAAGCAGCAGAAGGGTTTGGGACCGTGCATGGAAGATCATCAATACCAGGAGAGCTTTTTGTTTGTTTGTTTGGTGCTCCCCCTCCCCGCAATCTACACCTATTGGGCAGTTATTTTAAAGAAAAGAAGGCCAAGAAGATGACTAGGAAACTAATTTCACCCTATTACATTCCCTTGTTTGAAATCAACTTGTCACATTTCAATTTTAAATTTAAGATTATATAGTTTTGTTATTAAAAGATGTAACTCCTTTCTTCTAATCCCCAAGTCTTCTGTGGTCCGAGTTTATCAACAGTGGCTCTGCTATGCAGCCCTGGCTACAGCCTTGCTGGTCTCCACATTGAGCAATCGCATCACTGGTAGAAGGAGAATGCTGTAGCTTTGAACACTGAAAGCCACGGATGGCACTAAAAATACAGTGTGTGTCCCCATGTGACCTTCAGATTCCTCACGCAACTTCAGGGAAATTAGTTTCAGCACACCTGGCAGAAATGTTAAAAACTATCAAAGAGGAAATAGGGGGATGAAAATCATCTGACTTGCTCATGACAAGTTCATGCCTATGTAAGTAAGTAATGAAACATTTGCAGTGGCATTTGTTTGAGATATCAGTGAAGCCCCGGCTTCTCATGTGTGGGTGAAGTGCAAAAATCCCTCAGGGCTGGCACAGGAGGCCCCGTTTCATGTTGATAAATCTGTATGACTATGCCTGTCTCTATATTTCAGATCATTTAAAATGCCAAATCCTGTTTCATCAGGATCCGACTACACATAGACTTTAATTTTTTCGCCTTTCTAAAAAAATTATTCATGTTAAATTTTCAGAAATATGAAATAAAACAAACCTTCATCCTTTGTAGTTGTTTCTTGATGGGTTACAGCTAGTCCAAGCTTACTTAACCACCTAAGATTCAAATAGAAAGTAGATGTTTGACCATCAAGATTGGACCCCATGTCAGACTTGGTCTTGAAGTTAAGTCTTAATTCCACTGTTCATATAAATATTTCCATGCATAGTATAAGTTCTGGGACTCTGGCTTTATAGTATTTGGCTACTATCTTTACTTGAGGTATGCTTTGGAAGATAAACGAGGAAGGCCATTGTGCTATCTAACTTAACTGGAAAGCTAAATTAAATATCCTATATATATGAACAACCACCTTCTTACGTGATCATGCATCAGGAACTTGTTGAAACCATCAAAACATTTATCATTGAATTTAATCACTTGACCATTAAAAATATGTATACATCATTCTTAATAATGTTGATGTATTTCAGAGACCATCTATTTTTGCACCAGAAAGATTCTTATCACTCAGCAGAAGATCTACAGCTAGAGTTTAACAGAGGTTTCTAAATTGGGGAAATTTTTAATTCCTTAAAAATATGTATGGTAAAAAATCGACAAGGTTCTCTTCTCTACTGATTTATCATTTCATTGATAATTGATTCCAATTAAACACCAAACCAAAAATAGAATTAGGGATATCTTAGGAAACTCAAACTCGGCTTGCAATTTCAAGCCACTGTAGTTTTGTCTCAAGTTTTTCATCAGAAACACATCTGAAAACAATTTTTTTCAAAGATATAAAACAAAATGTGTCTCTCTCATAGATTCCTACTTATATAATCTTGTTCTGAAAGGAAAAATGTTGCTTTGAGGCAGTCAATATCTAGGAGAACCGTTTCCTACTTATTTCTAGTTTTTTGTATATTTTTAAATACTCCATATTGTGTATTCAGTCTTTCTTTTAAAAAATAGAGCATTCAATAATTGCCTAAGTCAACAAATATAGACTTACCATTTATCAATTCATTTAAGGTTTTCATTTCTCTTAGTCGTGCAATGCACCATGAATTATTTATTTAGCAGGTATAAACATTCTACATTTCCAAATTTATAGTTGTGAACCATTTAGAAATTCTTACCCAAGTTTCAGCTAACCATGATTTTGCTGTGCTCATTTTTGAGAGGAAAAAATATAATAAATTTGCTCTTAAATTAGAAAATTCCACACACAAAAAAGAAGATGACATCTTTTAACAAGTTGCCTTCAGCACCACAATAAGCCTGAGTTCTCTAATTGCCACTTAAGACTAGACCAGTCCCAGGGCTCAGATCATGCCATAGCAACCAGGAAATGCTCATCTCAGCCAACAGAATAGCAGAACAAAGGAACAACAACAAACAAAAAAATATATATATCACAGGGTTGGGAAGGTGGCTCAGTGGTAGAGGGCTTGCCTCACGTGCATGAGGTTCTAGGTTCGATTCTTCAGCACCACATAAGCAGAAAAGGCCAGATGTGGCACTGGCTCAAGTGGTAGAGTGCTCGCCTTGAGCTGAAGAGCTGAGGGCAGTGTTCAAGTCCAGAGTTCAGGCTCCAAGACCATCAAAAAAAATCACAGTACTTTGGAGAATGTTCATCTAAGCACAGGAAAAGTTTCTGCCAATCAGTAGATTTGGCAAAGATTGTCAGAGATTAAAAATATCATTGATTTCTAAGGAGAAAATTGCTGAGTTAACCATAGCCGATTTTGAGCAGGGATTTAGATATTATTCAAAATTTAAATTCCATTCTCTTTGCCCAATAGCTAGTCTACAAAAAGACATTTGGGGGCACACAAATTTGGGAAAGTGCTGTTAATGGGAAATGGATATATATATATTATCACGTGGATTCCATCAATGCCATATTAAAAGGAAGCTAATAAAATGATGAAGGGAGAAGTAATGACTTGAAAATTTCTAATACACTGGTTATTGAAAGGCACAAATTTAGAGCAATACAGTTAGCCTACCCTAATGTACTGTACAATGATGCATCTGTGTGTACAATTATCTATCTGTATATCTGCTTGCAGAAAAGCATCAGGAAAGACATACAACTTACTCTCAGAAGTGGTTAGCCCCACAGGGAGAAGTTGAATTAGTTGGAAAGGGCTTGGGCAGTCTCTCACTTTTTCTTTTATAGTATCTCACTTTTATAAGAATGTTTTGTACATTCCTTAACTGAAACACTTAAAAGTACATTTTAAAAACGTGACCAGGCAAAACAATAAATTCCATCACTCCCCTTTAAGAATATCATTTTAGTAGTGTTTGGCTTACACTTGATGCCATACTTGCATGAGCTCCCATTTGAAAAAGCATTTAAAAGCGAAAGAGGCAAGTTTAAAAGCAAGGACAAAAAAATGCATATACTTTTGAATTGAGGGTACCGGCAGCTCTAACTAAGATCCTTTCTAGAGACATGAAAACATGGCAAAGTAAAGAGTTCTGACAAAAAAGAAAAACTGCCTCAACCCTTACCCCAAACCTAGTTGCTTTTTCTTGTCACCATTAGCTCCTTGCTGTGATAAAGCAGTACCTGTCTAGACTCTCATTTGACCATTCTCTTTCTAGAACCCACCTCTTAGAGCCCCTCAACAGCTGAGAACTTTTTTCGGTCTCCTGGCAGTACATAAATTTGTATTGGTGGCTAAGTAGATAGATGCACTCAAGGCTGATATTTACATAAGGGGAATGACAGATGTTTGCTGGGAGTTTGTTGTATATTCATGTAATGTGAATGTATGTGTTGGAGATGCACAAGTATTAGGAAACGGATGTAGAAAACAAGACTGTTCTTCCCACAAACACTGTCTGAGGAAAGGCAGAAATTCCCAGCTCTGCTTAGAAACCAACTCTCTCGTTGCCCTTATTACTCATCCTGTGCTTGTAAATTGAGGATCCCTGCAGAACACCAAAGCTTCCACTCATCATCCATGGGGGAAATGTCACCATCCAGAAAGGCAGTTACCCAAGAAGATGGATGTCCAAAAAGAACCACATCCTTACCTGTTAACTCCTGCATCTCACCAAGTCCCTCCCCATCCACCACGTACTGGCCTACCCAGGCTCATCATAAGAGAGAAAGGCATTTCAGTGTTATTGTGAAACAAATCTCCACATCTAATCTGGGTACCCTGGTCAGAGAAAGACTTCTTCCTATGGCCCCTGGGGGGGGGGGGGGAATCTTCAGGATAATAAAATGGGAACTGGCTTAAGTTCCAGCATTACTTCTTCATATCAGATTTTGAACCACTGGCACAATAAAATTCAGTAACAGTAATATTAATAGAAAAAAATAGTGAAATATTCAAGCACTACATGATGGGCCATTTATCCATGAAGAGCCAGATAAGCAATTTTTAAATGATGCTTGAAATAGCGATTCAAAGCCAGCCAGTGAGTCTGCTTACCTAACTGAGTTTATGTAGAGATTTAAACGGTCATTAATAGAGCCGTAAGGATAAGCAAAGTCATTAAGGTCCCTGAGAAGGGCTACAAAAAAAATTCAATGTTAGGAAGCGTTTTTGTAAGACCTCACTACAATAAATAATGTTAAGAATTTAAATGACGCTTCAAAATGTTAACACATTGCATGTAGCCTTTTTTGAAGAAAACAAAATGAATGCTTAAAATCATTTCTCTGTGAAACAGGAATCCAGGCACTTTAAGTCCAAAACCTAATCTATGTCTTGATTTCAAGTTGGAAAAAGAAACACCCACAGAATTTCAAGTAAATTACCAACTCTTTAGAACATAGACAGATAATACGTTCTTGACCTTGATAATTGTGACAAATACTGATTTAAATCCATAAGGTGTAGTATAAGTCATAGCTACAGCTAATACGCATACAACACCATCTGTTGTTACATAAGAACCTGCCAGTGGAGAATATAGCACCTGAAGATAAACAGGCTGAACGTGGCAGGTTAGGGTGGTTATATCAGGCAGCTATGTAACTCCCATGTGAGACTCAGAGAGGAAACCCATCAGAAATACACTGGATTCAGACAGCCAGGAAAGGAGCTCACAATTTCTTGGTTGAAAAATGTATCTGACTACATGGGAGAACATTTTCACTCCGATGGGATTGCTTCATTGGGAGAGGAGGGACAATGGGCAGCACTGTGTCTCTCCTGAAAGGCCCTAAAGAGCCAGGTGGACTTCATTGGTGTCTGAGTGGTACCACAGGCTGTAAGGACCTGTGGGTGGGGCCTCTTTCCACACACCACTTAGCACCAAGGCTGGGAATGTGGCTTAGTGGTAGAGTGCTTGCCTAGCATGCATGAAGCCCTGGGTTCGATTCCTCAGTACCACCTACACGGAAAAAGCTGAAAACGGTGCTGTGGCTCAAGTGGTAGAGTGCTAGCCTTGAGCAAAAAGAAGCTCAGGGACAGTGCCTAAGCCCTGAGTTCAAGCCCCAGGACTGGCAAAAAAAAAATCAGTAAGCAGTAAAAGATGGAGCAAGATGGTTGATGCAGGCTGAAGTTTTGTCTTCTTGTGACAGATCTATGCCATGTTCCCTTTCTCTGCCATATTTCTCTTCTGATAAATATTCCTATCACTTTCACTTATAAAAAATAGTGTTATGAAGTTTTAAAAATCCTACCCTTTTGTGTATCTGTTCTTAACGTTTATGTCAGATGTTTGAAAAGACCAACGGAGGAAAAGCTAAACTCAGAACTAGGACAAAAGCAGCTTCTCTCTTTGCAGGAGTAAATGAGGCTTATTTAGAAGACTCCATTGTCTATTCCTTGCATTGCACAGCTAACCCAGTTTACCAGCTTCCTGTGAGGTATTCTACCCTCCTCTGTAGGGACGTGGTAGAGCAGATGAGAGGTGCTGTGGAAGAGGGTTGAAAGGTTAGGTGAAATGCTCCTACCCATATGGGGCTTCTCAGGGAAGAGGAAGCTGTGTGGGGGGGGGGGGGGGTGTGGGTGTGTGTGTGTGGGTGTGGGTGTGGGTGCTTGCATGTGATAAAAGGCAGCTTCTATTTTCTTTAATTTCCTAAAGCAAGAAGACAAAGAAAAATGATGAAGGGCAAATAAGCAGAGGAAATGAATTATTGTGTCCAAATAAATAAGGCACATCTCAACATAGTCTGCCTGGATGGAGGAGTATTGTGTAGGTGGATGGGTGGATGCGTGAATGTTTACCGCCATCACCCAGCATCTGCTGCAGTGGCATGCACAAGAGAGATTCCATAAACGACATATTTTAACCAGTTGTGTGAAGGGAAAAAGAGACACTGGGAATTCTAGCTAGTGCCCCCCGGATGATACAAATCACAGACAGCGGCTCTCAAAAGAACAGCCGTTGTGATGTGCCTTAGTCTGCCCCAGAGGGGCAGCAGGAAGGGAGAGACACTAGGGATGTAAGTTGCAAATGGAATTGGCTCTAAGCAAGAGCATTTTACACGTGTTCTGGATGACAATCACACACACAGCTAAGCCCTGCCCATGGGAGCTGAAAAATCACAATGCTTGGGAACTATCAGTTCCACGAGACTTTCAAATCTTTCTCCTTGTGACACCAATTCACAAGGAAATTTTTTCTTATAAGGAATTCTGTCTACTTCTTATTCCACTTAGTGGTTTCCTTCAGAAGAATACCAGAGGAGAAAGGAAGAACTCTTGTCTTTTCTTGCCTGGACTGGCCTCAAACCTTGATCCCCCCACTTTAAGCCTCCTGAGTAGCTGGGATTATAGATAAGCTCAGAATGGTCTTCTGAAATACAACAGTTAAACGTGTACATCCGATTACCCAGCTGTACACAGATGTGAAATGTAAATGGCCTCCCACAATTTATAGTAGCGATGAGCAAAAATAAGTCTTTTAGACTTTAAGGGACAGAAGATCTCTTCTTTCTTTCTCTCTCTCTCACTCCCTTTTTCTTTTTTCTTTTTGACTTGAGTGTGATTATCTTATTGCTAGAACTTGAAGTAGGCATATAATGAGTGTCAGGATACTCCCCCCTGGAGCAGAGGGATGATGTCACTGTTGGCTGTGTTTTGACTGTAACTACAGATATTGTGGTCATTCCACCACTGCTAGGTCCATTTTTTTTTTTTCAGTGCTGTTTAGGTGGAACCAGAAGATCCTTGAGACCAAAAAATGAAGTGAAGAACTGAACCTAACTCAAGAGGCTCAGAAGAGGAAACAGAACAAACACAAAGGCACCAATGCCCATAGGGTGATCTCAGTCTTCTTCTGGAGTGGTTGCTCCAGAAAGGAATCTCTAAAGTGGCAGAAATAAAGCAGATAGTAATTTAATAGGAACTGGCTTAAAATTCCCATGCCTAACCAAAGTAAATTTGCTCTCAGCAATATTGCGTTTGACATTTTCCTCTACTTACACGTTCATTTCCTGTAAATTCTCAGCTGCAAAATAAAAGGTCTTGATCTGAGGATGATTGATCTTAAATGCACTACAAGGAGAAAGGCACGAAAACACAAGAGTTAAAGTTTGTAACCATCAGTGGGCCTGAAAGTGTATCAGTCAAATATCGACACTGCAAGCTTATCTGCTTTCTTTATACACTTACAAGAATAACTATCACATTAAATATCTACTGCTTGGTTTTGATTGTCTGGTTTTTATTGACCCCCTTGCTTAAAGGTTAATCTAGCACATCAAGACAGTCATAGCTACTCAATAGCTTCCACTAAAACATATCAGCACAATTGCTTTACTACAAAGATACAATCATCTAAAACAGCATCATGAAGACACCATTTCAAAATACTCAGACCAGTTCCACCAAGCAAAGTATTCAAGTTCTTTAAAAGAACTTTATTTATAGGAAAGTGATGAGGCACGGTACTTCTATATAGCAAGAACTTATCAGAAGCCATATCTAAGGCACTCCATTTGGGTAAAGAAAAAATCTAAAGTGGATTTTTGTTTAAAGGAAAAATATAAAGCATTAAAAAATACCAGACACAGAAAGTGTTTCCACTTTGCCATTTACACTGGAAGTCCTGCAAGTCAAAACCACAAGAACCAACCAAAGCCATGCTGCTATACTAGAGGGGCAAAGAATTAAAGCTAATACCAGCTTAACTGTTCTTACTGGAAAACAATTCACTAGTTAACAATAAGGAAGTATCCTTTTCTGAGAAAGCTGGTTAAAGCTATTAAGGGTAGAAGAAAGAATAAGAAAAAGGTGACAGAGGGCACGAATACAAAACACAGCACAACAGACTCCTGGGAAGAGCTATTGGCAGGGAGATCTGGGGTGTGGAGCGCAGCACCAGCCCTCTACTGGGCTCTGGGGCTGGGCACGGACGTTCCTGGGGTTTTTTCTCCATAGATAGAACAATTAGCTGGAGTCTTCTAGTTCTCAAGTCTTTGGGGCTTAAACTCTATCTTAGTCCCAAACTTAAGACTTAGAGAATTCATTCCCAAGAAAGCTGTTGACAGTACCGTGATGAGCTAGGAGGAACTGGTCTCTTCTCACACAGCTGTGTCTGGTGAGTCCATTTAAAGAATGGTTCTCTTTATCGTCTCAAAACCCTTCCCCACCCCCACACCATTCTGGGCGGGAGCACTGTCCTTTGCTCCATCCCTGACACAGTCATCGGGATTGGAAAGCTGCACCACAGAATGGCATTCCAGGAAATTCAAAACTAAACGCATGTATGAGTGCGTAAGGTGCCACCCTGCAACACTCAAAGCTCTCCAGCACTGAGCATTTTCTCTGCTCCATTCCAGGTGGCCACATCCTGGGATAAACCTGACAGATGAATAGGAACCAGACTCAGGGCTCTGGGAAAGGTAAGAGACAACTTACTGTTTCTTCTTGCACTCGGATGCTCTTTCCACACAGAAATCAAACAGACTGACGAATCCATCTGCTCTCTCTGCCTGAAACACACACAAACCGCAGACAGGAATAAATGGACAAACTGTGACCGACTTATTGAGGTCAATTACACATGATCGTGATAGAGGTCACCTCACACACTTCGCTAGGTCAGTCCTGACTAATGCCTCGTTGATGAGAAAGGTTAATATTCTCCTGGTAAGTCACCAAATCTTTTCCGGGGAGTGATGTGACACGGCTTAGGGAAGGTCACCCTGTGGCAGGCTCTGGCCCCCTCCGATCTCAGTCTCCTGGAAACCCCACAAAGCCGACCCATTGGAGTCCTGACTCCTGCTAAGCTCAGTTGGGGGTAGGCCACACGCTGCTAGCCACAAGCATAGGACTTCAAAGCCTCACGAGAATTCTTGCTGTGGTGGACCGAACCTCGACTTTAGAGCCAGCAGGTCTTCCTTCCTATCTTGGGTCTACCTTCTGCCCTTTTTTATTATTAATTTATTTTATTGTTATGTCAAAAGTGACTTACAGAGGGATTACAAGTACAGGAACCAGGTAATGAGTACATCTCTGTGCATAGTGTCTTCTGTGTCACTCTCTCCCAGTCCCTCCCTCCCGTTTCCACCCATGAGTTGGACAGTTCACTTTCATCCGTGTCCAGTGAGCTCCACTGCTGAACTTTTTCACCCCTTTCCCCTTGAGTTGGTGCCCTCCCCCACACTCTCCCTAAGATATACACTTGAGTGCACTGTACAAAAAGAAGACAGAATCATCAAAAAAAAGTTTGAGAGATATGTTGTTTTTATATCTTGGAGTTTATTTTGATACATATTAATTTATATAAATATGAAGACGCATGTAGGCATTGCACTTTTTTATTTCTTTCCTAAGAGTATCCTCCTGTGGTCTCAGTATCCAGAATCCTGAATAATTTATCCTATCCTGGTGTCTTTCTTCTTGTGGTTTATATGACTTAAATGAGCCCAAATAAACAAAACCCTTAATAGATATTCAATAAAAACTCTTTGTCCAAGTCTGTAGGCGGTTTGAGGAATTATACCACAGAACCACATCTTATAAAAATTTTAGCTCCATAGTTTATTCCTATAGAGGAAAGACTTGGGCAGAAAAATGACAGTTAAGAATATAGAATGAATGTTTCTTTAGATCACCCAAAATTCTGTAAGGAATGCAAACATGAACCTGTTAACGTACTGTTTATGATATAGTTCATGGGATCTAGAAAGAAGCTAGAATGTCATTCATGGAGCTCAACTCGCTTTCCAGCCACTGGTGTCCCTGAGAAATAGAATCCAAAAGAGCTAACATAAAGGAGTTGTTGGTTCTCAGAAGAAGATAAAAGTTGATTGAAAATACGGTCATCATTTTACATGCAAAGTAGCTGTTAAGTGAGTGCCAGTGGGTGCTACCAGTTCATCTCATCACCATCACATGCTCTCATTGCCCAGCTACAGAGTAACTGGCTTTCTTTCCTTCAAAAACATTAACTGTGGGCTGGGAAGGTGGCTCAGCAGTAGAGTGCTTGCCTTGCATGCATGAGGCTCTGGGTTCGATTCCCCAGCACCACATAAGCAGAAAAAGCTGGAAGTGGCACTGTGGCTCAAGTGGTAGAGCGCTAGCCTTGAGCTGAAGAGGTGAGGGACAGCGCCCAGGCCCAGAGTTCAGGCCCCACGACTGACAAAACAACAACAACAACAACAAACCATCTCCAGCCCTCTATGTGGTGCAGTCTATCCAATTCTTCATCTGTAGGCCTTATTCTTAGAAGAATCTATCCCAGTTGGTGCTTCTCTCCTTAAAAATCCACATGCACCTGTATACATACTGCTTTCTTATTTCTTGGTGGGATAATTAACTAATACATAGTAACTTCCTCATCAATCCTCTCTCAGACAGCACATAAACTACTGAAATAACATAAATGCATAAGTCAACATTTTTATTGTAAAGGTGATGTACAGATTTGTACAGATACATAAGTAAGGAAACAAGTACAATTCTTGTCACACATCATCAATTTTTGAGCTAATATACAATATTTCCTGTGGATATTTCCATTTGTGATATATTTAGTTTTAGGAGTTGTTGGATTCCACCTCTAGAGGTGTTCCCAGGGGAATGGAAAAAAGATAATCAAATAAGTGTATGCATATGCAGTGGCCACGCCAACAGTACACCTTACAGCCAAATATGCAGCCATAATATGGAACAAGAAAACTGTGGTAAACCCACCCAATGGAACATTATGCAGTCTTTAACTACTTATTAATTAAATGAATAAATAATGAATAAAGTGTCTCTACTAGGTGCTGAACCTTAAAAACATTCAGTAAATGAAATCAGACATAAAAGGTTTAATGTTATGTAATTCTATTTATATGAAGCATGCAACTAAGAAATTCCTAAAGACAGAACACAGAGTTTCCATGCACGGGAAAATGAGAATTAGACAATGACTGCTCAAAGGGTCTGGGCTTTCCTTTTGGGATGACAAAAATATACTGGAAATAAAACTAACTTATATATGTACAAGCAAACACATAAGGGATTATACGCAGGTGCACACAAATATATTGACTCAAGTTTGGTATTTGTAGGGCAGAATTCAGATGGTGTAATTCCTTAGAAAACTAACTTATAGTCCAATACAATGAATACCAGGAAATAGGCACTTGAAGTATGGAGAGGCCACCCACAGGAAGGGGTAGAGGAATAAAGAGAAATGACAGAGAGAATGCAGTCAAATTTAATGCATATCCTATGAAATTAAGAACACTGAGGGAGGGTGAGGGGTGGGGAGAGATGGGAGAGAGTGAGGAGAGGGTCACATTGCTCGAGAGGCAGTGTACTTATAAAACGGTGTGCTGTAGGGTAACTCCCTTGTGCAACTACTTAAAATAATAAACATTAACTTTAAAAATATACTAGAAACAGAGGGCGTGGCTGCACAACACTGTGGCTATACTGAATTGCCAGTGAATTGTTTGTTTTAAATTTAATTGTTTGGTTTATCTAGGGTTAAATGATTTCAATCTCAATCAAAATAAAATCAACTTGGTACAAAAATCTCATAACTTACTAAGAAAGGAAGTTGCTGGGCACAGTGGCTCACGCCTCTAATCCTAGCTATGCAGGAGGCTGAGATGTAAGGCTTGTGGTTCAAAGCCAGCCTGGGAAGCAAAGGCTGTGAGACTCTATATTTTAATAAACTACTGAGAAAAAGCCAGATGTGGTGCTGTGGCTTAAGTGGTAGGGTGCTAGCCTTGAGCACAGAAAAGCTCAGGTACAGAGCCTGAGCCCTGAGTTTAAGGCTCAGGACCAGAAAAACAAAAATATCACTTATACTCACCATTTGTTTCTACCTCCTCCTCTATTCACTTCTCTGCCCACTGTGGGAGATCAACCAAAGACACCATGAGTCCTAGTGACTCCCATCTACCCTCTCTGCCTTTCCTTGCTTGAACTCTAGGAAGAGAGTGACCTCCTAGCTTGGCTTTTCCAACTGCTGCTCCCTATTCCCCTCCCTCATGCATCACATCCTGCCTGTTTCTTAAACAGGTTCCCCGGCTTGCCCAGCTGTGCGCATTTCATGGCAGAACTCTGATGGGTGACCAGACACTCCCGTGCCATGGCTTCATGCAGCATTGCTGTACACATGCAATTGGGGTTCAGTCCTGGACCTCCAGACTTCTGATGGCCTCCTTTACCTATTCACCTGGGTCATTCCTGGCTTCTCTCAAGAGTCATCACCCAAACCTGAACTCACAACTCTATTCCATGCCATGCCTGTTCCTCGCTCTCCTGTGTTCTCTGTGTCAGTGGCAATATCTTTCTACCCAGCGGCCAAGAAAAGACAAGACAGGAGTCACCCCTGACTCTTTCAGCCCCGCTATAGTTTGGTTATTCTGTACCCTCACCAAGACTCATGATGAGGCTTAGTGTCCAATGTGGCAGTATGGAAATCTTTGAAAGGAAAGTAGGTCATTAGGAGAAAGTGGTGTCATTCTTATGAGCGACTCTCCTTCCCTCAGGACTGGACAGTTGGCGCTGAGACTGGGCTGTTACAAAGCGAAGGTGCCCTCGGTGCTTGGCCCTTTTCTCACATAACCAACACCCTTCCAATTCTTGCCATTGAACTGAGCAGCACATGGAGCTACAGGTGTCTTATTCCGGACCTCCAGAATTCTGAGCTCAAAAAGCATCCTTGTTCCCTATAATAATTAAGGTTCTGGTATTTTCTTATAAACAAGCTCTTTATCAGAATATGCAATTAAATGCACTCATCATCGTCTTATTGGTCATGGATTCTTCATTCATATATTACCTCTCACCACCTTCACAGCACCACTTTTTCTTGAGTTACTGCAAATGGCTCCTATTTTCCTTTTCTAAAAAATTCCCTCTATCTATCCAAATCATAGGCACAGTATAAACGTTTACATCATGAGCCTTTTGAATACCACTTCTCTAATTAAGAACTCTGTATAATTCCTAAATGCTCTTGGATAAAAAGCTAAGGGCCTTACCAGTAAGATCTTATGATAAAATCCGAATTCAACAATGTCATCCTAGCCCCCTACTTTACTGAAAATAAACAGAAAAAATAAAACAAAGACAAAAATAATATTCCTATGGAGCTGAAAAAGATTTGATACCCAAATTTGTGTCTTGATGAATCTCTAAACAATTTGTTTTCAGGGTAAGAAGCCCATTTCAAGTGACAATAACACAAAAAACAATGCAATATTGAAAACATATATTACCTATTACAGTTACTTTTACTAACATTTGCATCTGTGTCCATAGGAATCTATGTGAAAGGCAAATTTTAACTCTGTATTCAGAAAGATTCCTTTCCATAACTGAAATGGCATCTCAAATACATCTGAAGGAAGCAACTTCAGCATTTACCCAGCAAGTCCTCCTTTAAAGCTGAGGCATATTTTTCATTATTCAGAAGACATTCAAGCTGTACTCAGAGTCACAGACAATTGTGTCAAAAATGGTCCTTGCTTATTTGATTTGC